ATGAAGTTGTCATGTTTATAATTACAAATATTTATCTTGCAGCATTTTTATTTTTAAAAGGCATAGGAAAAAGTATTTGAAAACAGGTTACTATGACATGTTTATATAGCCAGGTGGTGGCGGTGGCGGCGGCGGCGCACGCCTTTAATCCCAATGCTTAGGAGGCAGAGGTAGGCAGATCTCTGTGAGTTTGAGGCTAGCCTGGTCTACAGAGGGAGTTCCAGGACAGCCAGGGCTACATAGAGAAACCCTGTCTCGGGGAAAAAAAAAAGCTATATTTATGTACTGCCTACCACTAGACATAGAGACAACTCCAGCAATGCCATACATTCTCTGTGCCCAAAACAGTCATTTATTCCATGCACTCACAACTCTCTTCCTTCATACTTTTTCTCTAGCATTCACTGTCTGGCTACTTAAGTCTGTGTGACCTGGGTCTGATGTGATGTCTTCCTGTCACTCTGTGCCCAGATGCTCCAAGGAGAATGCGTCTTTTCTGCACTCCAACAGGCTGTACAGTGATTCTGTCTACAGTGTTGGCCTCCCTTACATGAGAGGACAGGCAATGGTCATCTCTGTCCTCTGGTGTCTAATGGAGTCCTGTGTGTCACATCACTTGTGATCATCCCGCCTGGAGAGGAGGCTGGTGAGTGTCAACGATCAGAAAGTGCCCTGGCATCCTGATAGGAGAAGGACGCTGTCAATGTATTTCAGATCCCACTGGAGGAAGCCTCGCCCCCTTTAACAATGAAACGGCATCAGCTGTAGCTCCAGCATGAGTACAGGTCAGGCCGGCTTGGGTTGCCAGAACAGTATGGAAATGAAGAAAGGGTGGGGGTGATGAAGGAGGGGGGTTAGAAGTTGAGATCATTCCAGAACCCCACTGTTCACTGGTCACCATTTTTATTTATTTAAGTAATTTCTTTGTGAAGCATATGCGGAATCGTGCCCAGCTGGTCTGCTTTCTTCGTCAGTCCTGAGGCAGAATCTACAGTTTCACGCACGCGGGGCAAGCGCTCTGCCCCAGCCACACACTCAGGTTCGAATGCCTGTTACTCTTCCTCTCCCGGGCACCGTGGGACTTCACTGCTTTCTGAGCGGCAAGGAGCATTTTGATGAATCAAGTGTGACTGCCCTCTCTGAATGTCTGTACATCCACTCAATGGGAATGTCCCCTCCCTGCCTGCCTGGTCACAAACGGTTCCTTCTGGGTATGACCATTCCTGAGGCAATGGCATCCAAGTCTCTGGGGAATGCGGACATTCAGCCTTGAACCAGGAGCGCGGGGCAGGAGGACCACGCTCTACAGCTTCAGCACCTAAGAACCACTAACTACCCAGAATGGGGAGGGGATGGGGCGGGGGGGGGGGGGCTGACAGCTCCCTGCAGGGCTGTGGGCTGGAAGCAGACACCCTCCTCAGGGCTGAAAATGTCGGAACCACTTCAGTCACACGGCACTTTCGGCTCTGTTTTTGTTTTTAGGCCAGTGACGGCTTACAACAACAGTTTTCAATGCAGAAGAAAATGCTGAGGAAAACGAAAAATAATTAGCTGCCCTGTTAAAGTCTCCTCCCCCGGCTTATTTCATTAGAAAAATCAATGGAGGCATTAATGGCTGTCTCTGTCTCTAATGAGCTTTATTCTAATTAGACTCACACATTATCATTTCAGTTGGGAAAAGGCCTGGCTGGTGAGGAGCGAGCGGCAGAGCATGGCAGGCAGCCTCTGAGTGCTGCGGTGACCGTGTTCAGGAAGGGTCACCATGATAACGTAAGTGATGACAGTCCTGGTGTATAGGACTTTCCATTTTCAAGGCACAACACAAATTAAGAGCCCCCCCCGCCCCCTTCATGGTATCCACACCACTATCCACCAACAGCAAGGACCGTTCAGGAGCTTGAAAGCTCCCATTTCCCAAGTTCAGTCTGACACCGGTACATACGACACTTCAGGGATGCCCTTCCCACAAGGAGCAGCCACGAGAAGGCAGGGATAAAGAACCTGGGATGTCTACGTGCTCCAGGCCATACTGGACCCATGTTCTTTGGGCAGGGCCAGTGAGTAGGTAGCTGAGGCTCTGTTCCATCTGGCCCCTGCTACAGCTTCTCAAGTACAGCCACGTCCCCTTAAAGCATCCGCGAGGCCGGCCGGGCATGGTGGTGTGTCAAATATCCCAGCAGCCAGGAGGCAGAGGCAGGAGGACCGTGAGTTTGAGGTCAGCCTGGTCTACACAGTGTGGCACTGTTTTTAAACAGCATCAACCCCCCCCCCAAAAAAAAAAACTATCAAAAACTGAATTTCATGTAATATGTCAAATACTGCAAAATCCCTCCATTACGTAAAGACCATCCTCATCTTGTGGGCCAGATGTGGCCTGGGGGCTGTAATTTGTCTGCTCCAGTCCCAGAAAGCACACCAATGATCCAACCCCACACCAAGAGGCCAACACTGGGTTGCTCAAGGGTTTTGCTCTTTCCCTAAGCATCAGACACCAGAGCTGATTTCTCCTCCAAGAGCTTTACCATTTCTTCCGGGATGAGCTGAGTTCTGCAAGACACCCACTTAGAAAACATCTACAAGATGGCAACTTATAAAACATGGTTCACAATCCACCAGGAAGAAGATGGCAGCAATCAGAATTAAATTTAACAATTCACTTACAATCTCATCTCCTGGTTACATCTGAATGTTCAAGTTTCATCTGCGTCTTCCTCCATCTGTATGTCATTCTCTTGGGGTTTCTATCTTGTGACAGGTATGACTTTTCATGTCACTCCCCCACACCCCAACTGGACATTACCTTTCTTTTTTTTTTTTTTTTTGTTTTGGTTTTTCGAGACAGGATTTCTCTTGTGTAGCTTTGCGCCTTTCCTGAAACTCACTTGGTAGCCCAGGCTGGCCTCGAACTCACAGAGATCCGCTTGGCTCTGCCTCCTGAGTGCTGGGATTAAAGGCGTGCGCCACCACCGCCCGGCGGACATTACCTTTCTTAAATCTTCCCTGTTATTATTTGTGTGTGACGATAAATAGATGTGCCATAAATTTTTGTGGAAGATTTCTAGGCTACCTTCATGGACTTAATTCTAAGAAAGCTGTAGAGCCTTGTGATAGTTTCTCAGCCCAAGCCAGGAATCTAGAGCAACCACTTGGTGCGTGGGGCTTTGTACCTCTCTTTGAAGTTCATTCTCTTTTGTACAACTGGCAGATCTAGATTTGAATGTTTGCCTCTTGACAGAGATGCGATTCCAAATTCTCTAGTGCCTTTATAACCTGAAGGGACTTTGGTTACCCTAGAATTGATAGTGAGGATGGATGCTTGGGAAGACAATCACATCCCTTTTCTTCCTTATAGCTGTCACCAGCAAGAGTCCTGGGACCATCAGCTGGTTGTTGGCTTTCGGATACCTCCCCTCTTCTCCCAAAGCCACGAAGGCTCTCTAGATGATGACTGGTCTAGGTCGTCACCGTGGAGAAGTAGAGGCGGTTGCTCACCACTCACGCTGCTCCCCAGGCTAGGCCCACCGAGGATGGTCAGTTTTTAAGACGGCAGTTTTCCTTCCTCCCCACAAGGGGTGTGTCACTGCTGGCTGGATTAGGAGGCTCAGCTCCCCTTTCGTTCTCTTGGCTTTCAAAACAGGAAGCACAGGGGGCATTATGAACCATGAAAGGTAGAGACTATGGAGCTAACCAAGTAGGAAGTAGAGAGGCCTCGTGAATTCTGTAGGAGAACTCTTCCATTTGGCTTCCTTTTCTTCCAGGGCATGGCTAAGTGGCCAACGTGACCACATTCTAGAAAGGAAGAGGTGCAGGGTCCCCTGTATTTCACTGTATGGCCGCTGGCTAGCTTAACTCAACAGATTTCCTAAGGACACACATGTTGGGAGGATGGCAACCCAGTGGATTTCAGACAAAACGTAAGAGGCTGAGCTGGCAGAATCAATTGTGTATGTGGAGACCATTTGGTTCAATGGGTTACGAATGCTGATTAAATTAAGAGTGGCCAGACATCTGATCAACCGGCCAACAAGAACAGGATTTCACAGAGGCCAGGTAATTCAGTTTTATCTGTGATTATGACTGTAGGAGGCCTTGGGAATAAGAGTTTCAACCGAAATCTAAAATAGGAATGTTTCAGGTGACCTAGTGCATGGCCCACTGACTGGATGTTAATGTTCCCTGGAAAGTTCCTTCCAGACAGCTGCACATACTGGGTGCAGTGGAAGACATGAGCAAGGCCAGTGATCACTGTGCCACCTGCTTTTTTCCCACTTGACACCTTGTCATAAATATATCCCTCTTTTCAGGGACTTCTCTTGACTTTGAGAAATGTAAGTTTCAGAACAGTACAAAGAACGGAGAGAACACTGTATAGCTCAGACGCAAGAACTCCTCATATTTTGTATCATGTTTCTATCTTTCACCCTCCTGCCTAGGAAATGAAATCACAATGGCCACAGGCTTGGTATTCATCCTCTCAGCTTTTTTTTCCTCTTTCTGATGCTGCAACTTGCCCTCGGGCATAGGTATGTACTCCACCAGTGAGCTATAGTCCCACATCAAGCTTACTGTAGAGACTTTCATATTCCTGTCATATTGACAATGTGCTTTATACTATACCAAATAGCTTATGTGTGTCTGAACATTTAAGTACATAGCACATAAATACTTACTACTTATAAATACTTCATAAAGAAAATCCCATACTAATGTGAATGCATGTACATGCATTTATCACATGCCTGTCAATACCTGACAGATGATTGGTATCTGGTATCTATTTGTTGAATGTAAGTATAAAAATATATCATAGTAATTTTTTTACAATATACTTTATACAATTACTGTATCATTGAATAATAATATTTGAAAACTGTAACCGTGCCATCTATGTATCTGGTTCATTTCTTTTGACTGCTGTGTGTGTAATCCTGGGATATAGAAGATTCAACTTCTTCCCCGGCGGCTGCATGCCCAGTTCTTTCCAGCTTTTTAAATTTCCATTTTTGCTATTTAACACAGACTGCTACAGTGAACTTTATTGTATTATATAAGAGAATTTCAAGGGTATATACCTAGCAATGTACAAGCTTTTAATAGTTTGAATTACACATATTTCCTATTACATATGTGCACATTATATAATGTGACAACAAACCTTTTGGTGTTTTAAATCTTACAAATATATTCCAAACTAGATCTGGATCTGTGTCTGGGAGTCGCTCAGCTTATTAGTAAGGTGGATGCTGAAGGATGTGTCTTGTGTTTGTCGTCACTCCTTGGTACCCAGAGAGGAGGCAGCTGTGATTGCCCAGCTCCAAACGTCCAAAAATCAAGATGGAAAATATGAGTGTGTCAAGCATTATAAAGTAGACCTGAAGTGAGGGCAGTCCAGAAGAGGCAGATTCCTCTAGGACAGAGCAGACTACGTCTCCATGCACTAGGTTTTCCAGGACTAACAAGAGGCCCCAGACTAAATTTTTTTTTTTTTTTTTTGGTTTTTAGAGACAGGGTTTCTCTGTGTAGATTTGTGCCTTTCCTGGAACTCGCTTTGGAGACCAGGCTGGCCTTGAACTCACAGAGATCCACCTGCCTCTGCCTAGACTAAATACTTAAAGCATCATGGGAGCACAGGATGCCTCACACTTCTCTCCTGACTGACGGACGCTGGCCAGCTTCACTCTTTGCCGTGGAGGAAGATGAAGTGGGAGGGATGGGGTTAAGACCTTCTCCACAGCTCCTTACACAGTTACGGCTCTGGATTAGAATCGTCCAGAAGAAAGCAAGTTCTCTATTCTAATGCTTCACTTTGTCCCTCCCTTGGTACCGGTCCCTGCTGGTCCAGGGAACCGAGTCAGGATGCTGACCTCAGAACTGAGGCTTATTAAAGGAATCCAAGAAGCCAGCCTGAGTGTCTCTTTGATGTTGACGGGTGCTGCTTTCCTCAACTTTTTTTTTGGTCCCTATTATCGTCACAAGCATTCTGGGGGTGGTATGAATGCACATGGTTAAAAGTCTCATAAAAGCAAGCTGCAAAAAGCCTACAGGAGTTCGAAGAAGCCTCCAATAGAAAAATGTCGATGAGGATTCAGATGTACCCTGCCACTGACTGACACATTCTGCAGTCACAGTAGCTCTATACATTTTCCCAGGACTCTCTAACTCCAGGACAAGGTTATGCCACAGAGTAAGATGGCCAGTGTGCTGGAGATGGCCTATTCTAACATTTTCTCTCCAAGGAGAGATGCTCGCCACAGGAAGGGCTGGCTTAGGCAAGATTTGAGCTCAATTCTTCATTTTCAGTTTCTACCACAGACCTCTGAAATGTTGGGTGACACACGCGCACCACTTCAAAAGAAAACCCGCGGAACACGGGGAATCTACGCCACAGCCATAGCTCTGTGTATGTATTTTCTTGAATTTCCCAAGTTAGTATTATTATACAAATCTCATCTGTGTGGAAACGGAAGATTAGAGAGTTTAAGTGATTAGCCCGAGTCACATTAGCTGGAGCCAGTTCCTAGATGTGGCTCAGGTTTGAAGCTCTCTCTTGGGTCACAATCGTTCTTCCTTAGACCGGATGGATTGTGCTCCCTGGCAATGGACCTGCTGTGTGCTCTCATGCTGCTCCACACTGTTAAAAGGATCTCCTAACCCAGACTGGTCAGGGGCATCTTCTCAACCATGTCTCCACCTCTGACAACCTGCCTGTTGAAGCCCTGTGGTCTATCTGTATAGCTCACTAATCCAGCAGGTGGCCCATGTCTTACACTACCTTCTAGGGAAACAAAGACAAGGGAGACCCAGTTTTTAAGCTTAGAGATCTGCTTATTGCTTCCAATATTTTTTTTTACTTTTTAATTCCAGTACTAGCGTTGACATGACCAGGCTTGGAAAATGCTAGGCCAAGTGCTCTACCACTGGGCTACATTTCTAGCCTCATTTTTTATTTCTTATTTTGAGACAGGGTTTCACTGAATTTCCCAGGATGGCTCTCACCTCAAGCCGTACAGTCCACACTGGCCTTGAAATTACAACCCTGTCCAGACTTCTGAGCCGCTGAGATTTTTTTTTGGTGTGTGCTACCACACCTTGCTAGGTCTTCTTAAGTAACAGAGCCAAGCATCTGCCAAGCTTGACAGTCTATCCCAGAGCACTGGCTGTGAGGCGACAGTCACGCTCGTAGATGCCAGATTCAAACAGCAGAAGGGCTGCCAGGGGGAAGCAGACAGGCAGCGGAAGAACCACGGAGGGTAGGAAGGCAACGGGACCACGACCAAGCTGTATAAGCATCCGCAGCTCCGAGTGCTGCTCTGGGGCCCCCTGCCTGGTCGAGTGGCAAGATGAAGCTGTTTACTGAGGGCTTAACTGCTCTGAGACCACAGGGCTGTCGGCCATGGATTCCTCATAGCAACAGCGTGGCTTCCCTTTCATTCATCACACCACTGCTGCAGAACCCAAATGCCTCTCCTGCTGCTCCTTAAGGGACCTGGCTGACAGCACCTAAGAGTTCTGTGAGATTCCAACCCTGCACAGAAAAGAGAGCAGATGCTTAAGGCCTTGAAGTTTTTCAGGCCCATTCATTCCCCTTGACTGTCCCCTTCAAGTCCCATTCACTCCCCTTGAGTCTTCCCTTGAAGTCCCATTCATTCCCCTTGAGTCTTCCCTTGAAGTCCCATTCATTGCCCTTGAGTCTCCCCTTGAAGTCCCATTCATTGCCCTTGAGTCTCCCCTTGAAGTCCCATTCATTCCCCTTGACTGTATAAACAGTTCCTACCAGCTAGAGGGGAATGCTGGGATTCTTAAAGGCCAGAGTGTGTTCACACTTCACGAGTGGTTTCTATACCAGGGTCACTGTCACAACAATTATTAAGTCATCTGCATAAAGCTATGCAGCAGGAATAAAAACAAAACAGGCCTGAGTCATCTCCTTGCCTCTTGTAATCACAGCTTTCATTTGGCTATGCACGTGGGAGAGGGGGATGGCAAGGCAAGGCGGTGAAGGGAGAGATGCAAAGGATGCATCTCTGCAGTTTTAGGACATGTTCACCATGGAGGAAGAAACTGCTGTGTGTGTGTGTGTGTGTGTGTGTGTGTGTGTGTGTGTGTGTGTGTGTATGCGTGTGCGCGCGCGTGCGCGCTTCCCCATGCACCTGTGTGTGCATACTCTCGAATGCAGGTATGTGTGGAGGCCAGAGGTTTATGTCACTGTTCTAGCCAACCTGCTTGGCTAGAGAACCCCAAGATGCTCCCGTGTCTCTTCCCTCAGCACTGGCATTACAGATGTGTGCCACGGTGCCCAGCTTTTTACTGGCTATTAAGGACCAAACTCAGGTCTTTATGCTCAAGCAAGCACTTTGTCGACGGTCCCATTTCCCTAGTCCTGTAGGAAATTGTTCAATATCATGATAATGGCAGCCAAGCCCACTTCCGATTAACATGCGGCACGACTTCCTTGGCATGTGAGGCAGGCTGTGTGACATTCTTTAAGCTTGTATACAATAGTCCCATGTTTCTCATCAGTCTCAGGCATGGAAGGAGTTTTTAAGTGCACTGCCAGAAAGTAAAGCTGTATGTGACAAACACTCTATTTGGTTCTCCAGCAACTCAGAGACTCAATGTCCCTAAAGGAGTTGTTCACTCAGAACTCAGCATCAGAGTCGTCACTACACCATATGAAGAGTGTGCTTCTTCTGATGCCTGATGCACCGACTCTGGGCATGGGTCATGCTGACCTGATTTGATGTAATGGATAAGGGTCCTTGAAATAACTTCATACACGCAGACTTATCATAACCTTTCTTACCAACTAGTACAGTTTTGAGCCCATGGAAATCAGGCCTTTCAGGGACCCAAATATTTCCTAAGTGCAAATAAATGGTTATTTGATAGGTAGAGGTGTCCAGAGAAACAAACTTGCATTTTAAAATTAACCAATTTCAAATTCATATACTTTTCTTCCTTAGATATTTCCTCAAAAAAACATCACATTGAATAATCCTAACCAAGAGAGCCAAGGTCCCAAACCCATGCAAGAATATGAGGGATCTAGAAAGGTCCTTAGAAGCAGAAGAATGAAGGGAGGTGAGAAAGGAGAAACGGGTTGTACGTGAGAAATTTCCATTGCTTCCTAATCCTCCTGTATTAGTTACTTTTCTATTGCTATGACAAAATACCATGACCAAAAACAATATAGGGAATAAAGGGCTTATTCTAGCGTATGGTTTAAGAGGGGAAGAATCCATCACGGCAGGGAAGCCATGGCAACAGGCAGGTGCAAGAAGTTGGGTGATCACATTTTTATCTACACACAGGAAGCAGAGAGAGAGAAAATAAGAAGTGAAGGGAGGCTACAAGCTCAGTTTCAAATGGAACTCATGGGACAGGGAGAGAGGCGCGCGCGCACGCGCGTGTATGTGTGTGTGTGTGTGTGTGTGTGTGTGTGTGT